AAAAAAAAAAAAAAAAAAAAAAAAGTACTGTTGAATAGTGTAAAGCTTTCTGGGGAACGTCTAAAACAGTTGAAATTTACAACCTTCTTTGGAAGCTCAAGTCTGTATGCAGAGAAATATGCTTGGTATGATTACTCACTGTTTCTTCCAAAGCTGGGCCCTTAGGAATTACTTTGTAACAATTCGTCAGCACACTTCGAATTACTAAATGGGGCTGGCTAACAATAAGACTCCATTTTAGGGAGTCTTGCGTTACTGTCCGACTAGATGGGCAGTCTGACAGCAACACAAGGAAAAGCTGCGATTCCAATTGAGTCTGACCTGTGTCCTTCAAACCCAAGGACAAGACAGACTTACATCCTCCCACAACCCTCTGTAAGGGCCCTCAAACGGCTTCTAGCTTGGCCTCAAGGGGCTCCAAACTAGGAATCTGCCCTCCTCCCACTTCCCTTTTAAGCAAAGGCACGGTCCCAAAGTGCGAAGCGGGCGTACAGACCCAGCGCACACAAGACAGGTCACGGAATTCGGACTGCGGGGCTCTCGATCTGCCGGGCTTCGGGGAGACCACGACTGAAGACAAACGGGTTCTCGCAGCGGGCCGCTACGCGATCCAGAAGGCGCCTTCAGCCAAGGGCCGGCACGGCGCCTCTTCCTCCTCTTTCTAGAGAGACGAAACAAGGGGCCTGTCTCACAGCGACCCGAGAACGGCTTCCGGGGGACTCACCCGAACGGAGAGGCGGGCCTAGCTACCGTCCCGTCACCCGCACACTTCTGCTCGGGGCCTGGCCAGCTCTTCCGGGGCCGCTCTAGACGGCCGGAGGGCGGTGCATCTCAGTGGCATTTCCGGCAGTGGAGTGCCGGCCCCGGATGCGAGCCCAGGTGCTGCCGGGATGAGAGTCCTGGGGGGGGGGCCTCCGGATGATTTTTCTTGCGGGGGTTCCCCGGATGAGGACCCTGAAGTGGGGTCCCGGATAAAGGTGCCGAGTAAGGGCCCCCGCTTAAAAGGCAGGTGTCTAGTAGGTCTCGGAGGCTGTCTACCGTACTTGGCTTCTTTACGTTCCTCAGCAGCTGCACCGCCCTTTGCTGATGGGATGGACGCTTCTAGCCATTACACCAATAATGACGTACTAACGTGGGGAAAACTGTCCCCCAACCCTTCCCTGACGCCAGCCACCACTGCGTACGGAAGTGGCCAGCCCAATTGGGCAAGTGTTTGGGGTGAGGCGTGGCTACCTAATGGTCCGGCTTCCGTGAGCTGGCCAATGAGGAACTAGCTCAAGGGTGCATACGTAGAGTGTGGAATATCACTGACTAATAGCACCTTGATGATTGGAGGACATGAAGTTCTGGGATCAAAACCTATTAAATGTGACAAAAGGATTAAAATTCTCAACACCCAAATTTCTCTTTTGACACAATACTACCGAGCTTATCTGGATAGTCGGGAGGTATTGTGCTAATCCTGAGTAAACATGATAAAAAAGACCTAGTCATCCCAATGAGCCCTGACCCATTTTCTCTCAAATAATGTGTATAGAGACTAAATGGGCTTCTGTGAAACGCCAGTAAATGACCTTGGCAGTTTGCAACTTTGATGTACAACTTCAGTTATAACAAGTGTTTCTGAAAGAGTAACAAGAAACAGCATGCTCATAGGGAAAGGAGGGGGGCGGTGAAGAGAGCAGGGATAAGGGGAAAAAATGAGAACCAAGACCTGTCACGTAAAGGTATCCTCAATGATGTATGTAACTGTACTGTATACCTAAACGGTACCAATAAACTCAATGAGAAAAAAAAAAACAGCATGCTCTGGAAAAATGTATCTAGGATATCTATCTCCATTGGCCAACTCAGATCTTTTCCCACATCTTCATTTTCTTACAAAAACCATAACCTCTCACACTTAACATGCGATTCCTCTCTTGGAAACTTTCCCTGCTGTCCCCCTTGACAGTGTGTTCAGATCTGAATAAACTTGTCTTTCCTATATTCCTTGACTCTTCATAAATTCTTTTGCCACCAGTATCACTGACCCTCCACATCTGTCGCAGCATTAAGGATCTTGGGGAATGCGGGAGAGAATGAGGTTAAGTTGGAATGGAAGAGACAGAACTAAGACTGAAAACAGTTGTGCTCCTGGCTAGAAAGACTCAACTATGCAGACAGGCTGTGTAGGCAAAGGACTAGGACAGACACCATTAGGCACTGTGACTGTGTGGTATGCCTAGATCCTTTACAGATTGTGATGGGTTGTAGAGGAACTAGATTTGTGAGACAGTTATCCTCTTAAAGGATGAAAAGCACAGTGTAGTGGCACATGCCTTTAATCCCAGCACTCTGGAGGCTAAGGCAGAAGGATCGTGAGTGGGAGGCCAGCCTATGCTATATAGTGAGACCTTGTTGCCAGCCAGCATGGATTCTTGTTTTAGTAGAAATGGAAATTAAGACTAAAGCACAAATTTACAGGAGAAAACCCTTTAATTGGAAAGTTAGAGGGAAGATAGGATTTCAGTTTAGGTAGCTGATGCAGGGGTTCAGATTGGCCCACCCACAAAGGCAAACAGCTAGTATTCAAGGACTATTAGCTCATGGGCTAGAATCAGTTGATCATTATCTCCATCCTAGTGTCATAGTTTTGGAATCTTTGTGGCTGAAGGATGGTTTCATTCCCAAAAAAGGATTGTCTTTGTCTATGGTGGTCTCAGTCACATGGCTGGAATCCAGGAATCCTGGAATCCAGGTGACCACAGGTTTAGAACAATGTATTGAAGGGTAAAGTCCCTGTAAACATTTTATCTCGGTATCCTCTGTCTTGGATAAGAATGAGATCAGCCAGCTCCTAGGCAGACATTCCCTAAGTGATCAACATATTCCTATGAAAATCTAAGAAGAGATTTAAACCAAGATTTATATACAAAATGAAAGTCAAGCTTTTCTCTGCTTTTAGTTACTTATTAGGAGCATATAAGCCCAAGGGAAGAATCATGGTTCATAGGAAAAATGGTTTTTCAACCTGTGGCTGTCCCAGAAGAAAACATAAATCAGACTTTTAATAAGTGGCAAGTAAGGGCCCAGCCTGTTCCAAATCCCTGTGATGGTTCTTGACTATGTCAAGACTATGTCCACCCTGTCTCAAAAAGAAATTTTTAAAAAGTAATTTGGAAGGAACTTTAAAGATTGCCTAAGCAAATTAAATACTATCTTTCAATGTCATTTCAAGTTAAGATAAACCAAAAGTATACATTTTATGTTTTTTAAAACTATATCAGCTTCTCAGAGATGTAATACCTTCCTTGTCTTTCCCTGTTGAGTATCATAGCTTTAGTCCAACTTCATACCATAACACCATTCCTCTAGTCTACAGTGTCCCTGACACACTGAAATAAATGAGGATCAGAGGTTAAAAAAAAAAAAAGCACTTCTTGGTCCATTGCTTTCTGGGCAGCTCTACTTAGGAACATTTTCTTGTGTTTAACAAAAATCTATCCCCAGTGATGTCTATCTATTGTTTCTACTGATGAGTCTCTGGGCAACAGGTGACACATTACTTGCTTCATTGCATAGAAGCTCTTCTAATATCCTAGGGTAGCTATTAATTTGGAGAACTTTCTTGAGTTGCAATTTCCCCACCTGAGAATATCTCACAGTTGGTACTCATTAAGAGTGGGCAGACACAATTTCTTCAGCAGAGGTGAGCAAACTATGGCAACAATGCAGTTTGTCCAAGTTATAGCTGACTCAGGCCATTTGCTCTAGTGTGAGGACCACAGGAATCATTCAGTTAAGAGTCCAACTCCCAGCCAGACATAGTAACACACCTGTAATCCCAACACCCCGGAAGGCTGAGGCAGGAGAATTAAGCCTGGGAAATTTAGGATTTAACAAGATCCTGTCTCAAAATAAAAAGGGGTGGGGATGTAGTTCAGTGTGAACTACACTGGGGTTTAATCCCCAGTGTGAAAAAAAAATCTACTTCTCTAGCCCACTATGGATAGGAATGGGACAGCAATACGTAGGGTGTTGTGACCCTCTGTAATGCCCATCAAGGGTGGTGAACCAATGTTGTGCATGCCACAGATGTTAACATTGAACGTCCTAAAATGTTCACCATCATTGGCCTAGATTCTTAGAGAATATAAAATCTTATGGGGGAAGTAAATCTGCTAGGGACAGCTAAGCTTTTAGAGAACCAAAAAAAGTAGTTTAGTATGGTGGTATACCTGTAATCAGCACTCAACAGATTGAGGCAGGAGGATCATGACTTTGAGGCCAGCTGGGCTACATAATGAGTTTGAGGCTAGCCTGGGTTACTGTTGAGGACCAGCCATAATATACATAAATTGGTGAGGGGACAGATTACAGGCCCCGCAGGCCCAAGGTCAGCATTAACTTTCCTTGAGAAAAGAAAAGTATGACTTCCTGGCTGTGTGGAAAGCCATAAACAGAACTCCTGAGATAAGATAACTCCTACTGAGGGCAATAAATTATGCAGACATCCCAGTGTGGAGAAGGACCTTAACTTTTCCCTTTGAGATACTAAACTTGGTCCCTATCTGGCTATTCTAATTTCACTACAGTCACTGTTCCTGGGATAGAATACTATACCCTCCCCTGTGCTTCTTAGTAAATAATAAAAGTGGGCCCACTGTGGAGTTTGTGGAAGCCTGTACACTAGAGACAATTTCCTCCCAGTCTCCCACTGTAAATGGTATACTATATCTGTCTTTTTCTTTTATTCCCTGTTGTTCTCCCTAAAGAGTCTAAAGAGCTCCAGATAGCTTGCACAGTAAGACCCTGTGTCAAAAAAATAGAGTCTACTTCCCTCCAATAGTCACCTGACCTTAACAAACAGTGGGGTTCTATAAGAAACATTAGCTACTATTTTATTTTTTAGCACAATTTTCTTCAACAATTATTAAGATGGCACTGTAAAAACCACCAACATGAAAAGCTGTGATTTTTTTAACTTAAAGTATGTTGCTTTAAAAAAATATGTGTTGGTGGTATAGCTCATAATGGAGCACTTGTCTAGCAAGTACAAGGCACTGGGTTGGATCCTCAGCACCGAAGAAAAATAAAGCAAATACTGGCCCCTGCAAAAGAACTGAAAATGTGTGTGTAACTATTCCAAAAGGATTGAGTATTTCATTAATCTTTCCCATGTGCTCACCATTGCAGTCCACATAGATACATACAAATGAAATAAAATATTACACTGCTGCATACACCTTTGTAGTTCAAGATTGCTTTCATGTGTACGAGAAGTTAAACTACTTAAGAAACATTGGTTAAAGAGCATAGATTGGGACAACTTTTAGTTGGAACCTGAAAAAAAGTAATGAACTACTACTTTACCTGGGCAACTGGGAAGTGACAAAAGGTGGTATGGTTTTGGCAAGTGTCCCTGCAAGTGTTCCCCAATGTATTAAAGGTTTGGTCACCAGCCTAGAGGACTACTGGAAAGTGGTGGAATCTTTAGGAGGTAAGGCCTAGTAGTAGGAAGGCCACTGAGCATGTGCCTTTAAGGGGATACTGAGACCCCAACCCCTTCCCCTTTATCTTTACCTTCCTGCCACCCGGAGGTGAGTAACTTCCTTGCCAGACACTCCCTGCAATGGTGTGCTATCTTAACATTGGCCCCAAAGCAATAAGGTTAATCACATATAAAGGAAAACCCATTGGAATCATTGCAGGCTTCTCAACATAAACCCTTAAGACAAGGAGAGCTTGAAGTGAAGTATTTCAAGACCCAAAAGAAAACAACCTTTAACCAACATTGATGTATCCTATAAAACTATCTTTCAAAACTGATGGAAAAATATGATACTTTGACAACAAAGAACATCTGAAGAAATTCATTAACAGTGAAAAAGCACTCCAAAATATTCTGAAGGATATTCTAGAAAAAGATAATGAGAATTACAGCTTCATGAACCCCAACAGAATGAATCTACCAGGCAAGGCAAGTAATTAAACAGAGAGAAGGAAAGGGACCCAACAACAGGAAAATAACATGACAAGGATAAGTCAATACATATCAGTTATAACCATCAACATAAATTGTCTCAATTCACCAATCAAAAGAAACAGAATGGTATAATGGATCAAGAAGCAATATTCAACAATATGCTGCATACAAGACACACATTTAATTTAAAAAATTCGTAAACTGAAAGTCAAAGGATGAAAAACAATACTCCATGTGACAG